GGCACCACTGTCTCCAGGGCGCAGACAACAGTGGCTAGAAAACAGACTTCCATATGACGTGCGTGGAACCGAGGTAATGCTGATGATGGACAGGCAGGCGATATCGCTCAGCAAGAGCATCGCAGAGATGGAGTTGTGGATGAGAGAAACAGAGCAACGAGCTATTGCGAATGGAAATGAAAGTTTGCTGACGCGCGCCTCAGTGATTGAGATAGTGCAGGAAGAACTGAGAAGAAGAGAATCGAACAATGATTCAAATGCCACTCTCAAGGAGCTTAAAGAGAAGTTAAGAAGACAGGAGATCGAAATGGTCCAGCTGATTGAAAAAATCGATGCTATGGAACAAGCTCAGCAACCCGCAGATGTGCCAAAGAGAAAACTTATTGTTGAAGAAGAGGATGGATCAAAGGTTTTGCAAGTTCAGGTTGACAACAACACTGAAGAGGGCGCTCTAAATCAAGATTCTCTAGAAGAAACCGATGACTGCGAATATTTTCTGAGGATGCTACAAGAAGTGGCAGACGGAAGCCCCTCACCCCCACCGCCGAGCGAAAACACACTGCCGAACGAAAACACGCCTACGAAAAAGACAAAGCACAACGATGAAAAGGATTCAGAGGAAGAAGAAGCGCTGAGATGGAAGCTCGAGCGTATGCTCAACGACATCAAATACTACCCAAGTAGACGTTTGGGTGAATGGTCGTACGGAATAGACCCATGGATTAGATGTGCATTTTGCGATGCGGTAGCTAAACATTTTAGCGATTCTTGCCCCCATGTTTCACGCGGAAAAGACAGACTACGCATTCTCCAGCGAAAAGGGCTTTGCACGCATTGTTTGCAATTCTGCACAAATAGTTATGAATGCCGATCGCATAGTAGACCTTGTTGGTACTGCCAAAAGATCAAGGGAAACAGTTTCTGGGAGATGCTACCGAGTGACGAGGGTAACCACCACAGAGCAATATGCAGCATACCAGAAAGGAAAAGAGAAGCCGAAGAAAGCATAGATGAACTGCAGGCACAGCTCTTTGACATGTTGAAAATGCGAGATCTCCGCACCAGGAATGCGTGAGTGTCAACGTTGCTCGCCGGGAATGTCGCAAAGAGCGACCAATTTATGCAAGTGTGATGATTCATGGTCAGTGAGATTACATATATCCGCTTCTGTTTTGCACGTCTTCGCCGGGTCATAGTTCACTTTCCCAGAAGGCTTGCAAAGTAAGAATGCGTTAATGGACGATCCATTATGCAATTTTTTTCAGTGTGCACGTAATTCAGCGATCCGGCGGCATTTTCTCAAGATGGCTTTCAACTTGAAAATGTTAAGTGGGAAGAGGAGGAAATTTCCCCATGCTTCGCTACAAATAGTCGTAGAAGGTTAGAGGAGGGATTAGGGGCGCTTGAGGCCTACATATCCAAAATCGAAACTCTTCTTCATGACTATACTTCTTTGATGGAGGAAACAGAAGCACCTTCGGAGAAGGAGTCCAAAGACTTCGAAGACTATTCGGCTAAAGCGGAATTGATTCTGGGTAATGCCTTTACATCTCCACTTGTGGATTGCGGAGCCTATGGCTAGCCATACGCTCAACAGCAAGGAGGTTGGGTCAATTTTTTCGTGCCGTGTTATGCTACCCATGGAGATACGGCTTGCGGGTTGAGAAAAAGGTTGATCGAAAAATCCTCTAAGAGGTTCAACTCTATACAGAATAGGAAAGATAGATTTAGTCAAGGCAGCAAGTTAATCCTCTGTAGAGATAGATCAAGGACAATTTTGAATAAATTTGTTTTTAGCATGACTTCGGAAGCAGAAGGAGATATGACTCCTATGGCGCTCTTATATGGGAACGGATACCCCACGGAAGATCAATTGGAAACGGACCTAATGAATGTTCTGCAAGCTTTCCATCAACAGATTGATGTGGCCGCAACGCTAACATTGCAGTGGAATCATGTGTGTCAGTATGGAAGTTTCAGCGACATCCCCGTACATCAAGTTATTCAAGTCGGCGCCTATTTGCGTAATGCCATGGTCACTAAAGAGAAACTGTTGCGCCTAGGAACTCGCTATTTGTTATCGGACTTGTTATACGATCGTACGGTTCTGATGGGCACACTGTCTCCAGGGCGCAGACAACAGTGGCTAGAAAACAGACTTCCATATGACGTGCGTGGAACCGAGGTAATGCTGATGATGGACAGGCAGGCGATATCGCTCAGCAAGAGCATCGCAGAGATGGAGTTGTGGATGAGAGAAACAGAGCAACGAGCTATTGCGAATGGAAATGAAAGTTTGCTGACGCGCGCCTCAGTGATTGAGATAGTGCAGGAAGAACTGAGAAGAAGAGAATCGAACAATGATTCAAATGCCACTCTCAAGGAGCTTAAAGAGAAGTTAAGAAGACAGGAGATCGAAATGGTCCAGCTGATTGAAAAAATCGATGCTATGGAACAAGCTCAGCAACCCGCAGATGTGCCAAAGAGAAAACTTATTGTTGAAGAAGAGGATGGATCAAAGGTTTTGCAAGTTCAGGTTGACAACAACACTGAAGAGGGCGCTCTAAATCAAGATTCTCTAGAAGAAACCGATGACTGCGAATATTTTCTGAGGATGCTACAAGAAGTGGCAGACGGAAGCCCCTCACCCCCACCGCCGAGCGAAAACACACTGCCGAACGAAAACACGCCTACGAAAAAGACAAAGCACAACGATGAAAAGGATTCAGAGGAAGAAGAAGCGCTGAGATGGAAGCTCGAGCGTATGCTCAACGACATCAAATACTACCCAAGTAGACGTTTGGGTGAATGGTCGTACGGAATAGACCCATGGATTAGATGTGCATTTTGCGATGCGGTAGCTAAACATTTTAGCGATTCTTGCCCCCATGTTTCACGCGGAAAAGACAGACTACGCATTCTCCAGCGAAAAGGGCTTTGCACGCATTGTTTGCAATTCTGCACAAATAGTTATGAATGCCGATCGCATAGTAGACCTTGTTGGTACTGCCAAAAGATCAAGGGAAACAGTTTCTGGGAGATGCTACCGAGTGACGAGGGTAACCACCACAGAGCAATATGCAGCATACCAGAAAGGAAAAGAGAAGCCGAAGAAAGCATAGATGAACTGCAGGCACAGCTCTTTGACATGTTGAAAATGCGAGATCTCCGCACCAGGAATGCGTGAGTGTCAACGTTGCTCGCCGGGAATGTCGCAAAGAGCGACCAATTTATGCAAGTGTGATGATTCATGGTCAGTGAGATTACATATATCCGCTTCTGTTTTGCACGTCTTCGCCGGGTCATAGTTCACTTTCCCAGAAGGCTTGCAAAGTAAGAATGCGTTAATGGACGATCCATTATGCAATTTTTTTCAGTGTGCACGTAATTCAGCGATCCGGCGGCATTTTCACAAGAGGCTTTCTAAGTTGGAATGCGTGGAACGTAGATCAAGCCACTATATAAACTCGGGCGATTGATGGAGGGCGTGCTCCAGTTTTTTCTCTTCTAGCTGGGGGAATAGGCAAAAAGGGAAGATTTTGAGGGTGGCAAAAACTCTCTTTCGGGCGATTGAGTATTCTCTGATTGATTGTATTTTCTAGTTGCTGGGATTAGTCCAAATTGGGAAGATTTGGAGGTTTTTGACCTCCAACTTTGGGAATGAGTTTCTCCATGTATTTGTTCATGTTTATTTGTTGTTTTGGCTTAGTAAAGGTTTAATTACCCAAGTTTGAGGTCGCATCGTGTCGGTACAATCCGCGTGGCAAGAGCAACTCTATAGGCTTTGGTCCGGTCAATTTTGGGTCAAGCAAAAGGGTCGTATATTTCGTAAATTCAATCACCCACCAGCAATGTCCCCGTCCACCCCTTATAATACTTGTAAGTAGGGGCGCTCTAGTGTCAGTGCAAGCTGGGTAACGGAATTGACGACATTTGCATCTCTAACGCCCCATATCAGCCCTTATCAAATTTAATCCCTTTAAATCACCCACCAACAATGTCCCCGTCCCACCCCTTATAATACTTGTAAGAATCGACGCTCTAGTGTCAGCGCAAGCTGGGTAACGACTTTTCATTCCTGGACCGCTCCTTTATCAACCTTATCAGTGTAATCCACTTTCAATCACCCATCAACAATGTCCCCGTCCCACCCCTTATAACACTTGTAAGTAGGGACGCTCTAGTGTCAGTGCAAGCTGGTAACGGAATTGACGACTTTTGCATTCTGACGCCCCATTATCAGCCCTTATCGGTTGCAATCACCAGAAGTCAGACGAATAAAAGAACTCTGACAGCCCTGAACGCTGCGGTCTACGCCATAGCGAAAGTGATCTCGATGAAGACCTTAGAAGATGAGGCAATCAAATCAAGAATCCATCAGAACCTAAGGGAAAATAAAGAGCTTAGAAACTATCCTCAAGGTCATTTCCTCACTCTCACACGAACTAGAGAGACGAGAAGCCAATAGGGGAGCTCCAAGCGAGCAGTTCCTAGAGATCGCCAGAATGCAAAAGTCTCTTCCACCGTGGACGTGCAAAGGCTCGTGGCAAGATACAAGGATCAGCTGAACATAGTTAAATCAAAAATAAATACAGCAGACTCTCTCAAATATGCAGAATACAGCAACGCGAACCCAACAAATACAAGCGATACAAAGCGGAAGACAGAAGCCGTGTTCCTTCGTTGCTGATGTGCGCGAACACTGGAAAAGTATAATAAGAGAGCCTCAACCATTTAGCCCCTTACCCGACCTACAAGCATGGGCCAATGCGGAAAGGAGAGAACAGAATAATACGTAATAACTTCGTATAGCATACATTATAAAGCCCTGGAAAGCAAACAGGTCCCGATGAAATACAGGGATCTGGTGTAAAAAAGCTCCCAGAGGCTAAGAAAAGGCTGATACAATGGTGTAAGCATGCCATGCGTAGACCTCTGGGATAAGCCTTAGAAACGGCTACCACATCCAAGGGAAGGCAGCAGGCGCGAAACTTAAAAATAGGTAACAGGTCTGTGAAAATAAAAAGGCCACAAAGCATGCCTTCGCAATAAGATCATTCCACAGGTAAAGGGTGGATTCTCAAAATAGAGCTTCTGTCTGACGGGAGGAAGGAAGGTGGGCCCGCCGGAATTCCCGTAGTACCAGCTCAGACAAAAAGAGGAACGTAGCTGGAATACGATCTGAGTCCCACCCGAAATACAAACGAAAACGTAGTCAGTGGAGATAAATAACAGGTCTGTGAAACTAAAAAGGCCACAAACGCAATGCGCCTCATAAGACATTCCAAGTAAACGGTGATCCAATAGGAGGACTTGTCTGACGGTATGAAAGAAGAAGGGGCCGCGCGCGAATTCCGCGTGTACCAAGAGACGTAGTTGAATATCATTGAGTCCGCACCCGAAATACAATCACTAAACGTAGTCAATGACATCTACAGGTCTGTGAAACTAAAGCACACAAATGGCGAAAGGACGAGAGGTCCATGTCGAATTAGTCGATCAGAAGGAATACTAGAAGCCTGCCTCTAATTGCTGATAATGAATAAAGGATATGGCGATATCATAGAGGCCATATCGACTTAGTCGATATGGCCTCTATGATTCGCCAATCCTTTATTTCCTCTAATCTTCCTCTCCGCCAATCCTCTAATTGCCTAAGTATCAAAATAAAGAATGGCGAAAGAGAGTGGTCACGTCGACCTTAGTCGTTATGGCCTCTAATTGCCTAAGTATTAAAATAAAGAATGGCGAAAGAGAGGAGGTCATGTCGCCGTTGTCGATATGGCCTTTAACTGCCTAAATAATCAAAACACAATAATTAATAATAATAATGGCAACTCAAAACACGAATGAGGAAAGCAGAAGAACTGGAAAGACGCGAAACATATGAGAGAAAACAGCTGTATTGGAGACTGTGGGCATGACACAGATCAATGATACCGCCAGCGTACGAAGTACTGCGTGCCAACGATTGATCGTCTCGTTGGCTACGCACTGTAATCTGATCTTCTATTGTGAATAAAAACTGGTGAGTTAGCAAAGTCATTGCCATCAACTACCTCTCCCTCCGGGCGGAAGTGGTGCAGTGACAAGTGGCGCGCTCACCACGCGAGCGGTCCGGGATCAAATCCTGGGTCGTGAGTCGCCCGGGCCAACCAAGCCTTCCATCCCTCCGGGGTCGGTTAATTGGTACCAGACTTGTCTGGGAGGATAAAAACACTGACTTGAACATCGGCTGGCCCCCGCAAGTCATTGTATAGGCCACATCGCATTCAAATGCCACTGCGAATGTACAAATGGAAGTAGAATGCGTGCCGCATCCCAAAAAGGGATTGATCAACGGCAAATGCTTTATCCTTTATCCTTTAACCTCTCCCTCCTCATAGTCATAATTTCAGAAGTGCATGTACGACACAACAAGATGTCAACATGAGGTGAAGAAGTGGAATAAAAGTGAAGAAATCTTATCCATCTAATTTTTAACATTTGTGGTGTCAGTGGCAAATAAATGATTAGAAAACTCACTCAAATCACAATAGTGATCATAAATTGATAAAGCGTTTATACGCAAGATATAACGGCCACGCAAATTCTTAACATAATTTATCAAACAAATGAAATCTCGTTACAGAAATGTGTATGGATGTATTCATGCACGGTTCCCCAAATACCAGTTGAATACTTCCTTCATGATAGCCAAAATAAAGTAAGTCCAAGCATTGTCGATACTCATACAAAAAAATGAACCTTAAATTTCAGGAAAGGCAAAGTAAAGTTCAGAATGGACGAGCTACTAGCGCTCATAGATCACTGTAACAAACTACGAATGAGCGAAAGCTCTCAGAAATGAAAGTGACAAGAGCGATGAACGACAAGCCGGTACCAAATGATATTACATATTAAGTAGTAATTGATGTTAGTGAACAAAGGTTCATCCAAGAATACGGCAAATGACGGACAAAGTGTGAGGACGCTGAACTATCTCCGCTTCCCCTTCTCCTCTCTTCCCCCGTCATTCTTTCCTCTTTTCCCTCCTCTTTACCCTTCCTTAATTAACCCTCCTTTCCTCCTTTCTCTTCCCTCTGCTTACCTCCCCTTTCTTTCTGCTTCTCTCTCTCCCTTCTTCTCTTCTTTCCTTCCAGTCCCCCCCCACACCCCCCCCCACTCTTAATTTTCTTTTCTTTCTTTTTTTCTTTTCTCTTTCTTTTCTTTCTTTTCTTCTTTTCTTTCTTTCTTTTCTTTTCTTTTTTCTTTTCTTTCTTTTCTTTTTTTTTCTTTTTTTTTCTTTTCTTTCTTTTCTTTCTTTCTTTTTCTTTTTCTTTTCTTTCTTTTCCTTTTCTTTTCTTTCTTTTTTTTTTTTCTTTTTTTTTTTTTTTTTTTTTTCTTTTTTTTTTCTCCTTTTTTTTTTTTCTTTTTTTTTCTTTTTTTCTTTTCTTTTCTTTTTTTTTTTTTTTTTTTTCTTTTCTTTTTCTTTTTTTCCTTTTCTTTTCTTTTCTTTTCTTTTCTTTTCTTTTTTTTTTTTTTTTTTCTTTTCTTTTTTTTTTCTTTTTTTTTTCTTTTCTTTTTTTTTTTCTTTTCTTTTTTTCTTTTTTTTTTCTTTTTTTTTTTTTTTTTTTCTTTTTTTTTTTTTTTTTTTTTTTTTTTTTTTTCTTTTTTTTTTTTTTTTTTTTTTTTCTTTTTTTTTTTTTTTTTTTTTTTCTTTTCTTTGGTGAAGGTGTCGAGAACAGCACTCCTTAAACTAACTGGAGAAAACAACGCAGATCGCTGGAAAAACTGGAGGATCGAATACAAATGCTCGAAAGCAAAGGGGTGAAACACAATGAGGACAAAAACGAAGACAAAGCCGAAGAAGCCCAGAAAAGGGCAGGAAGAAGGAACCATCGATCTCTGATGAAGAGGAAGTAAAAGTGATCTGATAAAAAGTGACACAATAAAAAGGAGTTTGAAGACAATGTACATGTAATTGCAAGGGCGTGTCCACGCTTTAATTTTTATTTTTTTTTTATTTTTTTTATTTTTTTTTCTAATTATCCACGCTTTACGAATGAAGGCACCATACAGGCCTATAGGGGCCTATATAGGGTGCCTTCCAGCTCTCGGCTTTTGTAAAGGCTCCGAAGAAGGCGAGTGCGCCGAAACGTAAGCCGGAATGATAGTTGTATATCAAATCTCGGAAGCTCGAACACA